AAGAAAATCTTTGAAACTATGTTTACTTTCACAAAATCAACTTTTGGCCTCCTTTCTGCCTGAAACGTCTTTTAAGAGCATATAAAGTGAAAATGCATCTCAAGGCAGTAAAGTGCTGAAAGCTGCAGATATTCATGAAAATGACATCAGACTGTGAAATCAACTGTCATGAGGCACTTCTTTGTAGAAAATCTTTGAAACTATGGTTACTTTCACAAAATCAACTTTTGGTCTCCTCTCTGCCTGAAACGTCTTTTAAAAGCATAAAAAGTGAAAATGCATCTCTAGCCAGTAAAGTGCTGAAAGCTGCAGATATTCATGAAAATGACATCAGACTGTGAAATCAACTGTCATGAGGCACTTCTTTGAAGAAAATCTTTGAAACTATGGTTACTTTCACAAAATCAACTTTTGGTCTCCTCTCTGCCTGAAACGTCTTTTAAGAGCATAAAAAGTGAAAATGCATCTCTAGCCAGTAAAGTGCTGAAAGCTGCAGATATTCATGAAAATGACATCAGACTGTGAAATCAACTGTCATGAGGCACTTCTTTGAAGAACATCTTTGAAACTATGTTTACTTTCACAAAATCAACTTTTGGCCTCCTCTCTGCCTGAAACGACTTTTAAGAGCATAAAAGGCTGAGAATGTACTTTAAACCAGTAAAGGTGTGTAAGCATCAGATTTTAATGAAAACAGTAAAATCAACTGTCCTGAGCCACTTTTTTGAAGAATATCTCTGAAACTATGTTTACTTTCACAAAATCCACTGTTTTGAAGAAAATCTTTGAAACTGTGTTTACTTTCACAAAATCCACTTGTTTGAAGAAAATCTTTGAAACTGTCTCCCCGAGTGTAAATTTCCGTTCGCCGGAAGTCTGACCACTCTCCCATCATGAATTGACCGCTCTTATACTGGAAACAGCTCGGTGTTACGTGTTGTGTTTTCTCCCCTCCCCCCACTTCCTTTTTTTCTCTCTCTCTCAGTTCTCCTAACAGGTCAATCGGGTGATTGGATTCCACCTGTAGGGGCAGTTGTCCTGATTGGTGATTGGCACCTACGGCAGGCTCGCCAATCCGTGGAGGAAGAGCCGCAGATAAAAGGCAGGAAGCCTCGGAGTTCAGGAGGACTTCACTTCATACTGGGTTTATGGCACTTCTGAGAACTGAACTTGTTTGTGTTTGTGGTGAGAGGTTGCGGACAGTAGGTGAGTCTGGGATGCATTGGCACACATGTAGAATTTTCCGTGTCTTGATACACAAGGCTTATTGGTCGGTGCCTCATCTGTATTTGGGTTTTGGTCAAGCACATTTAGATAAGTTAGAGAAGCCATTTTGTTTGTTTTCAGAGGTTAGTTAGTTAGGCCAAGTTCTGTTATCTTTGTTTCAATTGTTTGGGACGACCACACCTGTCCCATCCTCTCCCAAATCTTCTGTTAAGACTTGCTCATCTTTAACTGTCAGTGAGCATAATAAATATTGTTATGGTACACGAGCTATTTGTTTTTCATTTGGGTTGTTTTGTGTTAGTCCCTAAATCCTTCCCCTGGACAACAGAGGCAACAACTTGGCAGTAAACAGGATGCAGTTGCCAACAATGATGGTAGCTTTGAGCCGGATAATCTTCGTCGTTATTGTACTGATTTTTCATAAAATGGGACCAAAATCCAACTTTTTTTTTTTTTTTTTTTTTTTTTTTTGGCGAAGAGCAGTGTCATGGTACCGTTGTCCACTCACAGCTTTCTACTGGTTCCACGGAGAGAAAAACCGAAGGTATTTATGTGTTCTGCGACGAATGCTATTGCTAAAAAATGCATTGCTTAGCTCGGTAGCCGCTAGCTTCCGGGAGCAAATATTGATTTGCAGTACACATAACGGCGATTTCTGCCCAGGATTTCGTGCGTTTATGCCACATTTTCTCGATGCTTATATTAGTAGTCTATAGTTGTGTTTGGAGTGTGTAAAAAGTGACTTATATGATCGTGTTGCCCATACGTTGCTGTTTAATCCGGAAAAAAAAACTGTACAAATCCACTATTACCGAAGAATAAGGCTATTTTTCAAACAATATTTTTGGGGGCGTCGTGCTTAACCAGTAAAGGTGTGTAAGCATCAGATTCTAATGAAACAGTGAAATCAACTGTCCTGAGCCACTTTTTTGAAGAATATCTCTGAAACTGTTTACTTTCACAAAATCCACTTTTTTGAAGAAATTCTTTGAAATTATGTTTACTTTCACAAAATCCACTTTTTTTTTTTTTTGATACTTAAATATTTTATTTATTTGTTTTATTTATTTTTTTTTTTTGTTGCAAAGAAAACAAATCCCGACACGTAAAGGGATAATACTAGCAATTCATGCACCTGGCAAAAAAGACCAGGAAAAAATACATTTAAACAAATAGATAAATTAAACAAAATACATCAAAACAACCATGCAACATGCCAACATTGTCCGTCACTCGTGTTTCAGGATCAGATATCAAAATTATGTATTGGAAGAGTTCTATACACAGCAGTATTTATGTTAAGATCTCGATTTGCACAGATGAAGTAGCATCCTGTTTGAAGAGTACCTGTCTTTTTAAAAGATAATGAGCATCCACAATGAACAGTCAAAAACCCTGTGTGAGGTTAGGGAAGGCAAGTCACCAGCCAAGTTCTTGTTCTGACAAATATTTGGTCCATTTTGTCCATCTTGCTATGTATGTGTCTTTTTGTTAATCTCAGTAGGAAAGTCAGTCTTTCCATATCGTGAATTTCTTTAATGATTTCAGTCCAATTTTCGACTGAAGGTGGGTCGGTTTGTAGCCACTTTCGAGTAATTGCTTTTTTTGCTGCTACCGTTAATATTTTCAGGAGGTATCTGTCACTTCCTGTTATTCCTTCTGGTAGATTACCCAAATAAAGTGACTTGCATGTGAATAAGATCTGCTGGCCAAGAATATGCTGCATAATTGTCCAAGCATTTTGCCAGAATGTTTGTATCTTGGGGCAGCACCAGAAGATATGGTGGCGGTTTGCACAACCCTCCCCACAATTTCTCCAGCATACATATATGGTATATTGTGGCCAAATATGTCTTCATTTTAGGGGTAATAAAGAAACGAACAAGGTTCTTCCAGCTAAATTCACGCCAATACATAGAACAGGAAGTAGTGAACACGGTTTCACACATATTGTCCCATTGCTGACTGGATATTTGATCTTCTAGTTCTTTCTCCCATCTCTCCTTGATCTATGTTGTGGTAGTTCCTCTGCCCTTTGTAATTCCCTGGTAAAGTTTTGAAATTACTGATTTGGAGCTGCCAATGTATGCCTGTACTATTAATTTTATTATTTCATTAGGTTCCATAGTTACCTCATGTCTCTTAATTTCTTTTGAAAAGTACTGCCGTAACTGTAGATATCTGAAGAAATCATACTTTTCTAAATTGTATTTTTCCTTCAATATCTGGAAACTTTGTATTGTGTTTTTCTCCGTTATTGTGCAGAAAGCAGTAATACCTTGTTTGGTCCAGTACCTGAATCTAGAATCTATACTGTTTGGTTTAAATTCTGTGTCATATGCAAGCCATCTAAGTTTTCTTAACTGGGTCCACAAATTTAGTTGCTTTACAACATCGAACCAGGTGTGCAGGGTGAATGAGACAGTGGGGTTCAGATGGGCACGATAAGACTTTTGATGTTAAGACTAACATTAATTTGTGGTCTGCGACCATTGCTTGTACTGGGATACCTTTGCATTCATTTTCCATCTCCATCCACTTAGCCTCATAACCATTATCACACCAAAGAACTATTATTTTTAATTGGGCGGAATGGAAATACTCTCTAAGGTTAGGGAGAGACATACCACCTCCCTCCTTACTGATGGTTAACGTGCTATATTTAACCCTTGGTTTCCTTCCGTTCCAAATGAATCTGGAGATCTGTCTGTCCCAGTCCTGGAATTGTCTGGCTGGGATTTTAACTGGTGGTGACATAAATAAATACAGTAGTCTAGGTAAAATGGACATCTTTATAATATCAATTCTCGCACTTAAATTAGTGGTGTTGACCAATTACTTAGATCTTCTTTAATTTTTTTTTTTTAATATACAAATCACGAGTACAGTGGGTTAACCAAATTCCGAGGTATTTAATTGCTTTTTGTGACCAGTTAATGGGGATCTTTTGCTTTTATTGCTTTTACAAGTTCATCTCTGGATAGGCAGCGGTACTTCTCATCTAAAAAGGCACATACACGTCAATGCACTGCAGGCAAACTTTACTTCACCTCAGTAACAATAAAGGTGAAGGATTGTAATTAAATGGTAATATTTGAGTTTTTTGCATATTTAATTTGTATCCTGAATATATACCGCATTTGTCAAGGAGTTTCAAAAGGTTAGGAAGGCAGATATCTGGGTCACGGATGTAAAGCAATACATCATCAGCGTATAACGCTATCTTATGTTCCTTATTTTTTTATCAGAATTCCTTTTATATCGCAGCATTCTCTTATTGCTTGTGCCAAGGGTTCCATGTAGAGTGCGAAAAGAGTTGGAGAGAGGGGGCACCCCTGACGGGTGGATCTTTCCAATTTTATGCGGTCAGTAAGACGTCCATTTATTTTGATTCTTGCTGTCGGGGCAGAATATAGAGCTTTAATACTGTTAATTGACTTTTCGGTGAAACCAAATTGTTCTAAAACCAAAAACAAATATTCCCAGCTCACGCAATCAAAAGCTTTTTCGGCGTCTAGGCTAACTAGCACAGCATTTGATTTGGTTTCCCCGATATTGTCTACAATATGAAGAGTGTCTGTCTAATATTATCTTGCGTTTGCCGTCCCTGGACAAAACCGGTTTGGTCGGTATCAATTAGGTCAGGAATGAAGGAGTCCATTCTCCTAGACATGATGGATGCATACAGTTTGTAGTCCTGATTTAAAATCAAAATCGATCTATATGAGCTACATAGCATTTTGTCCTTGCCTTCTTTTGGAATGACAGAAATAATAGCTTCACTCCATGAGGGTGGAGTTGACATATTTTCAAGTGTCCAATTAAAGGAGTTCAAAAGTACTGGAGTCAGCTCTTCCTTAAGGATCTTATACCATTCAGCCGGTAAACCATCACTTCCTGGTGTCTTATTTTTTAAATTATTCACTGCAGTTTCCAATTTTTTGGTAATCTGTAATGTCAAGTGGTCATTTGTTGTCCAATTGAAGGCAGGTCTATAGATTTTTAGGAATGATTTTATATTCTCTTTAGTTTCTTGTTTTGGTTGTGAGTATAGGGTTTTGTAATATGTTTGGAATGCAGTGTCGATCTCATCCAAGTTATTGCTCATTTGTCCTGATTCAGGGTGTAGTATTTTATATACTGAGTGTGAGATCTGTTTTTCCGTATTTTCTTAGCAAGTAATTTGGTGGCTTTTGGACCTATTTCATAATATGTTTGTTTTAGGAATTTATATTTTTTTTCTCTGTTTCTTCTTTATAAATATCCAAGATCTGATATTTTTTATTTATTTATTTTTTTTAAATTTCTTTAACTTTGGTCAACATTTGGGTGTCTTGGATCTCAGCATGTTTTTCCAGTTCTTTTAGATTATTTTCCAGCTGTTTAAGTTTCTTTTCTTTTCCTTTTTTGAGAGCTGAGCTGAGAGATATTAATTTGCCCCTGATCCCTGCTTTTAAGGTGTCCCATAATATATTTGGGTTCACTTCCCCATTGTCATTAAAGTCAAGGAAAGTTTTAATTTCCAATTTCATTTGTTGTACCACTGTTTTATTATTAAGCACACTTGTATTAAGTCTCCAGATTGTTTTCTTTGGCCTGCTATCCAAATGTAGTGTTAAATACATTGGTGAGTGGTCAGAAATATCTCTAGTTCCTATCTCACAGTTCTGAATCCTGTCTATCATTCTGAAACGTAAAAATATAGTCTATTCTTGAGAAGACTGCATGGGGGGCAGAATAAAAAGTATAATCTTTTTCAGATGGATGCAGGTCCCTCCAAATGTCAAGTAAGCCCATCTCATCCAAACCTCTTCTCAGCAATTTAGACTGCAGGGAGATATTTCTCTTATTAGATGTATCCAATTTATTACTTATTACCGTGTTAACATCTCCTGCACATATTAGTGTGCCTTGTGATTCTGAGGAAATCAGCCCGAGTATTTTTTTCATACTACTACTGTGATCACTTTGTGGGGGTATATAAACACAGATAAGTGTGGTCATTTTGTTTTCAATCTTTCCTTGCACAAGAACATATCTACCTTCACTGTCCCTAACCAAGTCAAAATTAATAGAATTATGTAATAATATACATAATATAATAAGACTCCTCTTTTTCCGGTTTTCAATGAGCTATAAAATGTGTTCTTGTATCCAAATTGCTTTAATTTTTCATGTTCATTTTGGGATAAATGCGTTTCCTGTAGAAGTATAATTTGGTGTTTTTCCCTTCTCATTTTTGACATTACTCTGCTTCTCTTAACCGGATTATTTAAGCCGTTCACGTTCCAGGATGCTACTCTGAAGTTACTGTATCCCATAACAATAGTTCAATCTGTATGCGTTGGCAACATAGACACGTGTGTTGGAACAAAAACAAATAACAAAAACATTATTAACAAATATAAAATTGACTTCCAACCTCAGGGTCTTACACTGCCCTGTCATCTTCATATACCACCTATTCGCTAATGGAGAATTAATCCGACTTAAAGTAGGGGCTCCCTCTCTGCAAAAAACAGTCTCTTTCCCTTTTGAGCGGACCAGTCATTTAGACCTCTCCCGGTCATTTGTGCTCATTCATATATAGAGGAGCCCGAAACAAGCACGAAGTTTAAAAAAAAAAATTTTTTAAAAAAAGCGGTGGGAGTAGGGATCAAATTGTCAATATATCAAGATTATTATTATTATTATCGATGTAGAAGGGGGGTGTTGAGGGACATATGATTATGTGTGCATGTCTACGAATTTGGACTTTTTTTTAAATTTATTTTTTTGGTACCTTTTTTAGCAGTGTGTGAAATTAGTCCGTCCATACCTGATGAATCCTAGTAGTTTAATATTCATACGTGTTAGCGTTAGTGCTCTTTGGACCTCCCACGGACCCGGCCGGTGCCGTCCCCGGTCTTTCTGCTCCAGTGAGCGCCTTGTGTAGGTTTCTGGTCCCAACTGGTGTCGGGCGTCTGCGGCAGGTCCAGGGAGCAGCCTCTCATCCTCATGTCCTCGGCTGCTTCTGTGGCGTTGTTGTAGATGCGGGTGCCGTTTCCCCAGTGGATCCTTATCCTGGCAGGGTATGGTGTCTGGAAACGTATTTGTTTCTCCTTAATCTTCTTTGTCTTTGTATTCTTTAAGTTTATTGTTCAGGTCAGTCGGATGATCCACTTTTTGAAGAAAGGCTTTGAAACTCAGTTTACTTTCACAAAATCCACTTCTGGCCTCTTCCAGGCCTGAAACGACTTTTAAGAGCATAAAAGGCTGAGAATGTACCTTAAACCAGTAAAGGTGTGTAAGCATCATATTCTAATGAAAACATCATGAAACAGTGAAATCAACTGCCCTGAGCCACTTTTTTGAAGAATATCTCTGAAACTATGTTTATCTTCACAAAATCCACTTTTTTGAAAAAAATCTTTGAAATAATACTTTATTTCACAAAATCCACTTTTGGCCTCTTCCAGGCCTGAAACGTCTTTAGAGCATAAAAGGCTGAGAATTTACCCTAACCTGTTCAGCTCCACGAGGACGCCCGCGTCTTCGATCGCCTCCCCTTCCGTTCCTACGGCTTGCTTACGCAAACTACGTCACAAAACATGACTGTGTTTGGTATCCCAGCATGCCCAAAATCCTCATCTTTGCAAAGAAAACATCGATTTTCTTTCATTTCTTATGGATTTTTCACAAAAGGAGCCCAAACACACTGTCCAAAAGTCGCCATAACCGCTGCAAGTCGGATCTTGCAGCATTTCGACGGCGAAAGACACAGTACAGACCCGACTATGTGCTAGCGGATGTTACCATTGAGCTAGTGGCTTCAGATAACGCTAGTACTTATTGTCCAAACCTATTCATTCTCTTACATAAGCCGTCAAACAACGTATAACCTCGCGTAACTGAGGTTTAGTTTTACTGGCGCCATCATGTGGTTATAAGGTGGTATTTCAGCTGCAGGACAACAGTGAAGGCCCAGGTATAAAATGCACGGCCCGCCACTGCAGTATACATACACTGTCGGCAGCTCTGGACACATGAAAGGCCCTTCTTGCGGACATACCTATAGGCTGTGGCCTATGCAACTACAATGAGAGTGGCATACCATCAGCTTTTTTTTTTGGTTTTTGGCACTGCCGTGTTTGAAACGTAATTTTCAGTATAACCACTTTGTTGGATGCAATTTACATAATTACAACTGATCATTAATGTATACTTGCATAATGACTATGATGTATACCTTTTTTTGGCAGAAAAGTTCAAGGTGGAAAGATAACTTGAGATAACTGTTATCTCAAGTCACTTTTGCTGACTAATAAAATGATTATTACTCATGTAAACACATTCATCAATTAGGTTTTTATTTTGAAGGACTTGACCAGAAGTACTATTGTGTAATCTTGCTACACTTCCACTATTGGCAAAAATCCAAGACAGCCCAGCCTCTTCCTAAACCTCTCTCACAACCTGGGAATGTCCACCACTGAATAACCCCTTTTACAATGAAGCTTGATTTGAATCTAGTTTTTTTCATTTTCAGTACTTTCGAGGTCACTCTCCTGGAATATTGTCCAACTCATTGCAAGTGTGACTGGGACATCTACAGTGTGTCATGTGTTGGAGCTGAGGTCATGCCTGTATTCCCTTCCAGCACACAGGAGGTGTAAGTAACCACGTCTTTCAACTCTGATTTTACTTTGACTTTTTGTTGAAGACAAATCACAATATGATAAATTTGGTTTCAGGTGGCTTGTGGGGACCAAACTTTCTTTTCTTCCTCAGAATGCATTTACCAACTTGGCCAACATTGCTCACATGTAAGATTCTCTTTTTTACCTTACACTTTTCTTTCAAACCAGCAAAATGGGCAAGAACAAAGATTATCACTTACCAAAAAGAACTATAAATTAAAACTAGCAAAGAAAACCTCTTGACAGATTGTTAAAAAAAAAATGTAAAAATGTACACCTCTGTTCATTAGCTACACAAGGCTGAGTAATCCTCCCCTTAGCCTGCAGCTCTTGTTTCAGAACTAGCCTACTGCCATGTGTGGCTTAAGCTTTTTTTTTTTTTTTTTTTTTTATTATTACTGCCCTCTGAAGAGAATTTATTTGTTTCTTCTACTTCCACTTTCACGCTTTGCTTGGTGTCATATCATTAGTTAAAATTACAGTACTAGCTGCATTTTAATTTTGTCCATCCACAGTAAACTCACTCACACCAAGTTATTATAAGTGGATTGGGTCTGAAATGAATTACTAAAAAAATTCCTTTTGTTCCTGGTGCCACTTTGGTGCCACACTCCGTTTGTCCTTTATGTACTCCTTCAGAACTTGAGCTACAACACAACTTCAGTCTTTTAGGTATTTATTATTCTGTGGGACATCGATGTTAGTTCCAATTTTCATGGCAAACCATCTCATAGTGGCACTATAGGAAAAGTCAGAGAATCACCAAAGTCAATAAGAAACATTGTCTGGAGAGCATGAATGTCTTTACCACATTTTGTGCAAATCCATTAAATAGATGTTGACACATTAGCGACCAGTTCTAACATTTGTGATTACTCCAAATGAATTGCTGAGTTGCTGGGGCACAAAGACAGGTAAAGATAGGTCCAACAAACACAAGCAGTTAGATGATGATACAGGTTTAAACAAACTCCCAGATCAGTAAAATGCATTCGTGTCAACGTGCCACTTCCACTTTTTAGTTAGGAACTGTTTGCAGTTAAATTATACACCCATCTAGTTAGTTTTGTCGATGGTTGCTGGCTGTTATAGTTGGATAGAAACATGTGGCTTTCTGTAATTCCTCACAAATAATGTTATACTATTAAGCTACTGATTACTTCACTGTAACAATGGGTAAGAGTGGTTTTCTGTATTCAGTGTTTACTGGAAAACACAATTGGCCTCCTGCAAGATAGTTTGTTTTCTTATCCTAAACCTCTCTTATTTTTTTTTTAATGAGGTTTGCTCGTAGAAAGGTGTGTTTCAATCAGATTCTGCTGCACAAATGTCCAAACTTGTTAATTGCTCTTTTCGACTTGATGAATGCCCCCTGTTCTTAAATGCAAAATTCATTCAGATTAAGGCCTTATTATCCTTAAATCAAACTTTAGAGAAAGACAGACTGTTTTGGATTCGTAAGGTAAGCCTGGATCATTAGTAAACTTTGTTCATACGTATGAGAAAAATTTACCTTTCACTAAGTCCCGCTCCATGAACACAAACTGGCTAATCATAGCGTAGCATCGGCCATCTCCCACCAGGGTCCGACAACTATCTTACTGTGCTCCATAGATTCTCATGCAATTGTTTCAGATTTTGTTCATATTCCGGCTGATCGTGCGGATTTCACACTTGTCATTTACCATGACTGGGGCTTGTGTAGTAATGACATCTGTTACCCGTAGGAGCTTGGAAGTAGATTTGTTTCTCAAACATTACGTTTCTTTATTAAAATTTGTAATCGCGATTAATCGCATGATTTTTTTTTTGCGATTAATCGCCTTGTTATGCGCAAAGTTCAATAATGAATTCAAAAGTAGTGTATTGCGCACTTTTATTTTAAAAGTACTGCTATATGAACAAAAGGGCAATAACATTTGGTTTGCAAACACTTTAAACAAATAAGGTGCTTTTTAACAGCAGTATTCCCTTTACACAGTAGCAGTTAAAATACAGTTATGATTCTGATAAAAGATATTCAGCCGGTGTTGACAACTTTATCTTCATGTGTGTAATAGATGCAATTTGAAATATACACCTTGAAAACTGCAAACCTATCTAGGTCATGTTTTTTTCTATTTTTTATGTTTGTTAAATTCTCAGTAGCGATAACTAAATTATACGCTTATTATACATATTCAAAACAAAATAACTTTAAAAACTTTAAAAATAATTTAAATGAAATTATTTTTTTGCTTTTTTTGGTATTTTGGTCAGACACATATGCAACGCTGATTACCGTAATATGTGTGGTATTTGTTATAAATGTACGTTGGTACATAAAGGGCGATAAGAAGCTGTACTTGGAGGGACTTAGGACCCAGGGGAATGTTGGTGAAGCATGGAACCTGGAGGGAGTCTGTACCGTGGCAGTAACGTGCAGCATGTGGAAGTTATGCTAATAAAGAGCTGCAGTTAAGAGCAGTTTGTTCTCGCATGCCTATATGTTAATTTAAAAACACGACAATATGTATTTTGATATTGTCACGATCCTGTAACGCGACGATTGCGCGTGTGTGTGTGTGTGTGAGAGACAGGATGGACCGACGGTGACTGAGTGAAGGGGGGGTTCCGGACCGGGCGTGTCACCCAGGGGGCGGCAGCAGGAAGAGAATGAAGTGACGCCACACAAACACAGCTGCAAATCCAAAGTATTAGTCTCCTAATTGTATTTTGTCTGTGTTTTTTCCAGATACATCTCTGATGATGATACTATAAGATATCTTGAGAGGCATTCTTTCCACAACCTGTCCAGGGTCACTCACATGTATGTAACTTTGAGCAATGCAACTTGCCTTTGATTAAAATGAAGCCTACCAAGTATTCCACAATGAATACACATATGGGTCAATTCACAAAGAATGGATTGCTGTCGCTGACTGCACAATTATTGTGCATCACTTTGAACCGCCATCTGCCCTCTTCTCAAGGTCCGATTCCCAAACTATATTGCGCTAATGATATTACAGCATTAGACATTATTCAAGCCAAATTAAATGAGTGAACAGGCTTTCTGCCTGTTTTTCTAATTACCTGCCTACCTGCATGCATGCTGCCCAAGCATGCACTCATTGTGCGACACTGGAGTCTTCCACAAGCTGCTAGCTTGGCAGCTGTGATTACTAACAATAGCCATTTTTGTTGTTTAAGTTCCTTACAATTTCTTATGATTTCTTTCTGTTAGAAAAATTCACTTGAGTCGATGTAAAAATCATTAATCACGGGACATTTATTCTTTGCAAAGAAGGAAACGGGGTTGATTCACATACAGAATGTACATCAAGACTGCTCAACGGTCTGCCTCTGAGTCTCTGTCATATATACTGCCAAACACAAGCAGTGTGGTGGTATAGGGTAATTTACGATAAGCTTGTCACACATGGATAACATACACACGTATTGCTTTTCACACAGCGCCATCTTCACAAAACCTGGAACAACAGTTTGTTCTAGTACAAAGGTAATTCTATGAAATCAGGAAGTCTCAGTAGCAAATCAGCTCTGCTCAAGTATTGACATCTGCTACAGCTTTATTGTCTATTATTTAGGATCAACATCTGCTAGCTCCCAAGAGGAAAGATATCTGAGAGGCTTGGTGTCTGAGGAAGATTCAGGCGCGAGAGATACGAGGACACAGGCCTAAAACTATTTGAGGACACAGCTCTAAACACTTACAGAGGACATGAGCCTATGTTAAATGTGTAACATTCACTAATTATTAATGCACAATAATTAGTTATTTAGATTTTTCCCAACACTTTCACAATGATAATTTTTAGGGAGTGGTTTGGAGGGTAGCCTGAAGAGATGGGCTGTCGGTGTTGCTGACTTTGCTAATGTCTTGCTAGATCAGGGACTTTGGAGGTTATCTTTGCTAGCTTCTATTATTGGAAAAGAGTTGGCAGCAATGGGCATAGTTTTTAAGTCGGGTCATTTTTTAATTCTACCGTACACTTGCTAGTTTCTCAACATTACCAACCCCAGCTTTCATATGCCATGATCACTGGCAAGTCTGGATGTGACACCCCTTATAAATGTGATTTAGACCACCAACTCTCTGAAGACACCAATAATTTCACTGTAACTGTGTATGGCTATTAGCGCTGATCATTTTGAACTGGCTTATTTCCATAGGAAGCGGCCAAATTATTGCTCCAAATGTATGCATATTTCCTCATTTATACACACACCAATAGCACAGGAGCACCGAGACGATACATGCTTGGCAGTACAGTTAAGGGTACATTGGCTTTGCGAAATATATGGTTTATTTTTGTACTATTTGAGCAGATTTAGTCACAAAAGCCGCACAATCCTTTTTGTGGATTTGCCCCCATAGTGTAATCTTCAAGTGTCATATCATGCTGCCTCTGTCCTGCAGTAGTACCATTGCTATACCGGCCACAATGAGAAGCCTGTGGCTTCAGAAAGTATTCTGACCACGTTACAGCAGAGTTAGTTGGTCCCAAGGGCAGACGCACCAATAAAATGATTGATGAATTTATTGCTAGAAAGAAGTAATGACGATTGATATGGGGAATGGCAGAGAGCGAAGCTGAAGGGAAGATGGCTGAGAATGGTAGATGGTGTGGCTGGCAGGGTGGCTGAAATGAAGATGGCCTGGCTAATGAGAGCCGGCAGGCAGAGAACCGTTTTTTGGAATGCAGGGAAACAAGCAACAATATCAGGAAATATCACTGGAGTAACTCCACTGGCTGAATCAGCGCTTGACGTGAAGCACATACTACCACTGTAGCAGACTGAACAATTTGGCGATCTGGAGAACCAAGGTAGATATACAGAGCCTGATGAGAGGTGGGCTCAATCAGCCAGCAACCAGGAGCAAGAGGGAAGGGGGAATCTGCCACGCCCATAGCCACCATCACACAGTGAGACAGACAAAACATGGAACAGACAGGGAAAACACGGAGGTCATGACTGTGACAGATCCCTTCACTTTTTGTATGCTTTATTGTATTTTAGATGTACTTTGAAATAGATCAAATTGGTATCATTCCCCATCAGTTTATATTCAAAAACCCATAATGACAAAGTGAAAATATGTTTTTGGAAAGTTTTGCAAATCTATTACAAATCTAAAACTCATTTACATAAGTACTCAGACCCTTAATTCAATAATTTGAAGAAGCCCCTTTGGCAGCAATTACAGCAATTACAGTCTTCTTGAGCAGTGCCTGGTGTTTGCTAGGCATAGTGCTTTGAGTTCTACCCAAAGACTCATGCCGTGTTCACACCAAACGCGGCACGAATTATTCGCACGAGTAGATTACATAAGCCTATGCACAGAAGCGATGAGACTGGAGTGACGCAAATTTGCAATGGCGCGATTGGTGTTGAAATTTTTCAACTCTGGCGAAAAAATCGCGTGCCGCTGTGGCACGATAGCCTATCAGCGTTGAGATGCTCCCCCTGTCACCACTGACGTCCTGCCGTTGTTGAATCAGAAACAATGGAAGACAAATTAATAGTGGCGGTTTGTGGGCACCCCGAGCTCTACGATACTTCCACCTATCTTTACTGACATCCTGTCGTTGTTGAATCAGGAAAGACATATTGTAGCCGTAGGTGTTCACCCAGAGCTCTACGATACCTCATATTACTAGAGACCGGAAGAAACTGTGTATAAACCTATGGTACAAACAATGAAAAACAAGCTGCCGTATTTACGCCTAGATGACGTTATTTTGAGTGTTGATGGAGCTTCTACAATGTTAACATAGCCTAGCACCGATCGATCCAAGCTCCATTAAGAAAACAAGCATTTTAAAAGTTATTTGCTGTTGTCTTGCAGAGAGAACTAACAAAACATGAATTCAAACTTTTTACAAATCGGCATCATTACATAGTTATTTCGGCATCCCTTTTATTATTGCAGTTAAATTACAGCAAAATATGTTTATTTTGTGCAGACATCTGTCTTGCTGGGCACAGTGAATACTCCTCCGGATTATGTTATGAACACAGACAAGACGGCATTTAGGTTCCCGGGATATCTGGGACTTCCACAACAAGTACTAAGCAGAAATAGAGGTTATTTTTTCCATGGTTGATGGCGGACATGAATGGCTTAAGTTAATAACGGCTTCCAGGGTGATAAGCCCCGCCCCCACGTCTAGCACGAATGGTGGGAATCACGCGAATGACCACAAATGGTCCCCTACAAGTAATGCGATGCAATTAACGCGTCACGATTGATGCGATTAACGTGGCGCAAATAATTTCTGCAGCGTTTGGTGTGAACGCACGTTTAGGCCCAATCCCAATGTCCCCCATAAAGCTTCAGACCCTGAACCCTCAAGGACTTACTGACGTCACCTGGTAAGTGGTTGAGTGTGAGAGACTGTGAAGGTTTGAAATGGTGTAAATACGAATGGGACAGCACTTTGCTGCAAAATATGAAGTTACCATGACAACAACAAAAAATGAGATGTACAATTGTGGATATTTATTTTATACTTTGTACTCACTGATTTGAAAGCCTTCCAGGCTCTTTCCTCACAAATCTATTTATTCGTTTTTGTCACAACAGCTTCAATGACAAAATCAAATATTTGATGAATAAATAAATAAATCTCTGATTTCATGTTTTTTTTGTTCCATCTTTAATCCTTAATGTTTCTTAGTGAATTTAATATTCTTGGCTGAACACACGTGTGCCCTCCTCTTTGTTTACCTTTTCAACGTAAACACGCTCTCTGTATCGATCCACAGGTACTGCAAAACTTGTTTTTCTATCTTTAGCTTGGATTAGGATTTAATTCGAATGCAGTAATTCTTTGTAATGTTTTAACAGGATTAGGGGATGTGTTATGTGTAGCAAGCTAATTGTTTCAATGAACGTTGTTGTAAGAGCCATATGAGACTTAGTAAGATGTCTTAAGTGATTTGTGCAACAAAAATGTGGAAATGCTCCTTTAGTTGCGTTACTGACTACATCACAGCCAATAGCCCTCAGTTGAGGTTAATCAGTCTGCGGAGCAACATCGTTTTTTGACCGTTGTGCCAACACTGACAAGTTGAGCAAAGAATGTTTCTTGTAACTTTATTTTGTTGAGTAAACCTTTTTTAAATGAAGCTACTGCCTTTGAAGAATCATTACGCGTCAAGCTTATTGCCAAACACAGACTGTAACAGTAGTGGTAATGTGTACTATCGGACGGAGGGAAGATTGCCGCTACAGTTGTCATGCTCTATAGTTTTTTCCATGAAAAGAAAGATGCCATATTCAAGCAAGTTTAACATGGTCAAATATGGTCAGGTGGTGGTTACAATGGCAATGTCTTCTAAGTAAGTGTGTTTCTCTCTGCCGTTGTTTTTTCATATAGAACCGAGCTAGGTTAAAGTAAACTTCTAACTGATGTTATGTTGGTCCGGCAGAGGTCTGCTGGAACAAGCCTTAACGATAGCTAATACGTGTCAGCTAGCTAATGTTATGTTCTGAGTAAAAAAAACTAATGCAAAGGGAAACGGACTTTGGGAGGCTTGGGAGTTGCAGGTGAAGTTGTGAAATCTATCGCTGTAGATGTGCGGTAATGCCAGAGGCTTATTGTGGTGAAGCCGGCACCATTTGAATTATGATGTATGTTACGTACCAGTGCTTGGAGCGGCCAAAAGAGGAACGCCTCATATTTCAGTGATAATCTTACATGCTCAAAAAATATATATTATATTACAAATTAAATATGAAATTAGTCATGTTGAATATGTATCTTGTCATCAAAGTCCTAATAAAGGCGGTAAAACCATAGACTGTATAAAAAGCAGACTTAGTCACCCATCGACTTGTGAACTTCTGTTTTGAAGCCTTGAGATCGCCATTTTGGCTGTTGCCATGTTGGTTTTCCACTTGAAACTAATAATTAGAGATTGAGACCATAAACTCATGTTTACAATGTTTACTGAGGTAATAAATCAAGTGAAATGTAGGGTAATTTTCTCATAAACTTCTATATATTTAGACTTAGTTTTGCAACCAGAGGAGTCGCCACTTGCTGGCCATTATAAAGAATGCAAGTTTAAGGCACTTCTGCATTGGTTTCAGTTTTCAGACCCAGTTGCCACATGAGTGAAACTAGGTTACTTTAAAGTACAGTAATGTGCAGGAATGACCATGACAATGACAAATTCCTCATGTTTGAACTTTAATAAAAACTTTGACTCCAAATATCTTCAGTGGATTAAAACAATGTCATAAATCTGAACTGTAAAATACAAATCGCACTGATCACAGTAAGCAATGGCTCGATGGTTCGTGATGCCAGAGGATTTTGACTGGACTGAGTCCCGAAGTGACGTTTTCTCCATAGTATACACATTAAATCACGCTCTCCTCGACCTTTTTATCTCAAACCTCTCCAGTCCACGACAAAACAGTGACAGAAAACTGAAAACTATTGTAGCTAAGATCATCATATGCCAATCATAGACTGATTATAAAAGTGGACGTGGTCAATGTGACGTCACCCATTATTTTGTAGAATGGTTTTGAAGCGCCGAGTTTGGCATTTTGGGCGTCGCCATTTTTTGGAACTAGAAGTGACCATATTTGGAAAATGGTTGGAGCCAGAGAAGAGCGAGGCCGGCAGGGCCCAGTACAAGGTAGTGCTAGCACCAGCTTGGTTAGCAAGGTTAAACAGGTGAGTTATATAAAAATATAACCCCCGCACAGTTGTTATAAATGGGGAAATAAGCAAAAGTAATTTTTTGTACCGGGCTGTGATCATGTTGATTTCTGTTACAAATTTTGGCATTTTAACATCGAAGTCTTAACAATTTGATTCAATTTTGGAGCCAGTCTCAAGTGAATATTGCAGGAACTGCAGTTTTTGACACTTCAGCGTTGGCTTTATTTTTCAGACCTGGAGGTTGCAGCATGGTGCCAAACAACTTCTTCCAAGTGTTTCAATGCCAATGTTTGGATCTTGTTTTCAAAGCCAAATTGTATTCTTAATGCCAAAATATTTCAGTTTCTTTTTTAATAAATTTGCAAAAATTTCTACATTTCTGTTTTTTTCTGTCAAGATGGGGTGCTGAGTGTACATTAATGAGAAATAAAATGAACTTTTTTGATTTTAGCAAATGGCTGCAATGAAACAGAGTGAAAAATTTAAAGGGGTCTGAATACTTTCCACTGTAGGTCAACATTCAAGAAGGTGGACATTGTACAGGAGATGTGGTCAGAAAATTATATGTTTTGACCAAACTAAATATTAAACTATTATGAGCTTTTTCCTTCAAGAAAAAGAAAGAATTAAGAAATATTTACGTGTGTGTCTGTATCTTGTGTGCCCAATAGACAACTAACTGGTATCAAAACACTGTCATACATCGACCAAGAGGCATTTAAAAATCTGCCTAATTTAAAGTACCTGTAAGTACAATTACATTTTCCCATGTGTAATCCTTGTATATCATATTTCACAAGGAAACATAGTAGAATTTCTATGTCCCCTATTAACCATAAACTGGCTACTGACTGAGATTTATCTCAATACAGTGGGATCACCAATACAGGTCTCACCTCCTTTCCTGGGCTACAATATATTCAGTCCAGCAAAGAGGATTTTATTTTGTATGTACCATTTAAATATACCTAACTGTAATGTCAATTGTTTTGCTAAAATGTATGAATTTTTAAAGTGTAAAATATTTCATGTTCATACCTTTCTGACAGGGAGATAGTGGAGAATGTCTTCCTAAAAGTTATACCTGCTAATTCTTTCACTGGGATATCTGAGAAAGCTTTGACCATGTAAGTATGATTTATAGTTTAACAATGACTCAAATGTCAGACCCCATTGCCACTGACCCACTGGAATTGACATTGCAATTCTATAGTTATTTTTGCTAATTTTCTCTTACAGCTTAACCAAAGTATGATTTGATCTATTGTGATCTGAATGCACTTACTTTGTTTATTATTTGCTTACTTACAATTACTTTTTTAAACTCTGAAAGAAATGTTAAGTTATGAGTAGTGTAAAATCTTGCTATTTGCTTTAATCAAGTCAGAGGGAAACAGCACAGACTTTTAGTCAATGCAGGGTCCAAAAGGTTTGTTGTGACAAATAAAATCTATGAAATAATAAACAATGAAAATGTGGGCAAAAAATAGGTATCAGCCCCTATCTCAAGCCTGTACAAGCATATTGCCTTTGAAGATAAGTCTGCTATAAGGCTAATGCTAACGTTCAAGAAATTATTATTTTGACAGAAAAAGGCCATTACTTGCCACATCCTCCCAAACTGCTCTAGGGTTAACATGGGCAGAGACCTGGCGACTTTAGTTGTTGGGTGGGGTCGGGGGGGCATTCCCCATTCATACACCGTAGGCACAGCTACTCGAGCAATTTGCAATTTGGGGCTAAGTGTCTTGCCCAAACACATCGACATGGAATGGTGGCGGCGATTGTACCTCTTATCCTCTGATTGAAGGACAACCGCTCCATCACTGATCCACAGTCGCTGACTGCTCCAAAAGATGGCAATCGGGTAGGGAGGGGTAGCAGCAGGTACATCTTACCTCAAGAAAAACTCAAGAAAGCTGCAGACATACCCTCAGAGACATACAACTAGGGACTTAAGGTACACGGCCATGGCAAACAAAGTATTGACACTGGGTGAAAGATACATTTGCGGCACGGTCTGCAAGAACAACCGGGGCTGGAGAGAACTATGCAGAGCACAGGAACCACTCTTGGTGAGACTTAGGAAGAGCCAGGCCAAGAGTCACCCCACAGTGCCCAGAACATTTAAGCGCAAGAAGCTCTTGCTCCAAATAAAGTAGTTCAACAGTCCCAGATCAAGGGGCCTCCAGCCAGTCATTTAAAAGAGTAGTTTCAGTCTAATCAGAAACTGAAACATTATCTTGTTGTTATCGTTACTCTCAACTCTGATATACTAGACCTTCATAAGTAAACAAGACCATTAGCGAGAAGATTGGCTATTTCTATATATTTATTCTTAATGGATGTTATCGGTGCCAGAGGGTCGGATTACGCGCAAAATCTGACAAAATCATGCAGGTTAACCAGAAACTCCTCCCGCAAAGACCAGCCCTCCGTGGACAGACCCAGATCTAGCTTCGCTGCAGCTTTCGACCTGCACCTGCACCCCACCTCCTGCTCTGACAGGAGGTGGAGAGCTCACTGCTCTGCCGGTCCCCACTGGGAGCCAACGACTGCACGTTGTGGACCAACTGTCCTGCGTGGGCCAACTGTCAGATCCTGCTGCAGTAAAATGAGAGGTTGTCCAAACCCTTTGAGTATTTTTCCATTGAAAAGATGTTTAAAAGACGTCTACGCCCACCGTTGAAAAGACGTTCAGAATTGGTTGAAAAGTGAATTTTTTTTTGCTGACTATTTATAGATGTTGATTGAACGTTCACGCTTACACCAGATTTCAATGGGATTTGCAATACTACAATTTTTCGTCCTCTACATTGTGCTAATAATAGTATATCATCATTTTAGAGGCTTACTAAGAAACCACATCCACATTTATCAGTTGAAAGCCAATTTTGCAAATCCCGTTGAAATCTGGTCTAACCGTGACCGCTTAATCAACGTCTATAAATAGTCGGCGAAAAAACTTTCACTTTTGACCCCCTTTTAACCGTGTTTTCAACGTCACCATTTTTGAAACGTGTTTTCAACGTCAAAATGCTCTCAGATCAATATGTAGCAACTAAATACTTAGTCATAGTAACACATCATCAGTTTCCACTTACAGGACAAAAGACCAAGTGACACAGGCAACAGTTAATTTGTATTTATTAAGCACAATATAAATATAAACATTGTTCTTTATATACAACCATAATCTCCTTTTCCTGATTTAAATGTTGTTTTCAAAGCCACACAGGACCCGGTTTCAGAAGGTCTGCCATATTTTCAAGGTCGACATCTGTAAATAAAACAGTATTAGAAAAACACATTAACTTTTAAACCAGTTTTGAACGCCTTATCACCGGAGACCATAGACGTCTTGTAAACGTGTTTTCAACGGAACTGTGAGGATTTATGTCTAACTCTGGTGTATTTCCCTCAGTAGTGTCCTCCTCCGAGTCCCACCCACTGCCGTGCCTCTCTCCGTAGGCACAGCTGATGCTCATCTCCAGTAATCATCTCCAGCTGACATAAATACTCCGATCACTCTCATCCCAGTTGTCAGTCCATCCGTTTACCTACCTGGTATTCAGACCCGTGAGTTGTCCGTTTGTTCACTCTCTGAAGATCTGCTACTAACGATCCGTTTTGTTTTCAACTTGCCTGCCGTCCAGTGTCGAGCCTCGGATTTTCACCTGTACGAAGAAGCCTTCCAGTTCGTTCCTCGGAGATCAACTGTGAAGTCTTGGCAATCCTGTGTCGAGCCCCGGGTATCATCACACAGTCGATCCTGACTGCCTGCCAGCCGTGGATGCAGACCAGCCACCTTCCGGCTAGGATCCGAGCGGAGCGCGAAGACGCGCCTCCGTGTTGAGTCTGACAGTTTTCCTGCCGGCTTCGTCTGCCGCTCAGTAGGATTAGCAACTTTCCGGCTTGGACCCGTGCGGAGCGCGTGGAGACGCCTCCTATTGACTTTATCAATTTCCTGTCTTTTCCCCTGACTGAGAGAAATAAATAATCTTGGTTTTGAAATAGAACTCTGCTGTCCTGAGTCTGCATTTGGGTCCATGAACACACCATATCATAACAGGAACGATGCTGACCTGGATATTACACAGTATATTCTTTATATTGTCTGTATATTGCTATAAGCCAAACAACAATGTTTTGACCGTGTTCTTATTAGACATTACTTTGTTTTACTCACATCCTCATTTAAACTGTGTACAGCCCCACTCGCTGTCCGCCGTGTATTTTACATGTAAAATGTCCTAAAACTCTTTTATAATGTTAGGCTACAGCAATAGTCCATAAAGAGTCTACAACATATACTAACACATGTTGCTAACGCTACTAGCTAACATGGTAACGCTACTAGCTAGCAGCCTCGCCCGCATGGTGAGCATAACATGATATTAATGATATGGTAATGATATTTCGGTTTGCAATATTGGAATAAAGTAGTTCAAGTACTTACAGAGTATGTCGTTAGCGTGAAGCCTCTTTTATTCCGTCAGCTCGTTCACTTCACTCCTCAAGTCCCGTGCCGTGTTTCTAGAGAGGGTGCATGTTTAAAAGTTGTAGTAGGAACCGTAGCTACACTGGTCTAACAAAAATGGCGACACTTCGTGCTGATGTCTTTGAACTTTATTTGCCGCGTTCTCTCTCTCCACCTCAGACACCGTAAAAACTACAAACAAAACAAACATTTTTACATAAATTGTGAGCTCTTCCTGGAGTCACGGACATTTGCTAGCACAAGTTGCTTGCACATATTAGCACATTAAAAATGACAAACTTCAATCTCAAAAAATGCAACACATGTAAACGTAAAGGCAGGTCAACAACAATACACACAAATATATGTTCAAATTAACACTTTACCGTGTGCACCTCTGCATAGAATCAGTTTAATCTGGGGTCGTTCACTCCTCTCTGCTTCTGTGCCAGCAAATGATCCACAATGCCACGGTCATATGCCCACGCCAACTCTGGGTGTGGCCCGTTACTTTACAACGTTACATGACAAAATACGATACCTTGAGGCAACACATACGGTACCATATACAGTTGTGTGAAAAAGTGTTTGCCCCCTTCCTGAGTTCTTATATTTTTTCATGTTTGTCACACTTAAATGTTTCAGATCATCAAACAAATTTAAATATTAGACAAAGATAACACAAGTAAACACAAAATGTAGTTTTTAAATGAAGGTTTTTATTATTAAGGGGGAAACAAAATCCAAACCTACATGGCCCTGTGTGAAAAAGTGATTGCCCCCCCCCCTGTTAAAACATAAATTAACTGGTTTATCACATCTTTGGAAAGCTGAGTTCAATTTCTCTAGCCACACCCAGGCCTGATTACTGCCACACCTGTTCTCAATCAAGAAATCACTTAAATAGGACCTGCTTGACAAAGTGAGGTAGACCAAAAGATCCTCAAAAGCTAGACATCATGCTGCGATCCAAAGAAATTCAGGAACAAATGAGAAACAAAGTAATTGAGATCTATCAGTCTGGAAAAGGTTACAAAGCCATTTCTAAAGCTTTGGGACTCCAGCGAACCACAGTGAGAGCCATTATCCACAAATGGCGAAAACATGGAACAGTGGTGAACCTTCCCAGGAGTGGCCGGCCGACCAAAATTACCCCAAGAGCGTAGCGACGACTCATCCAAGAGGTCACAAAAGACCCCAGAACAACATCCAAAGAACTGCAGGCCTCAATTAAGGTCAGTGTTCATGACTCCACCATAAGAAAGAGACTGGGCAAAAATGGCCTGCATGGCAGAGTTCCAAGACGAAAACCACTGCTGAGCAAAAAGAACATAAAGGCTCGTCTCAGTTTTGCCAGAAAACATCTTGATGATCCCCAAGACTTTTGGGAAAATACTCTGTGGACTGAAGAGACAAAAGTTGAACTTTTTGGAAGGTGTATGTCCCATTACATCTGGCGTAAAAGTAACACGGCATTTCAGAAAAGGAACATCATACCAACAGTAAAATATGGTGGTGGTAGTGTGATGGTCTGGGGCTGTTTTGCTGCTTCAGGACCTGGAAGACTTGCTGTGGTAAATGGAACCATGAATTCTGCTGTCTACCAAAAAATCCTCAAGGAGAATGTCTGGCCATCTGTTCGTGACC